CTCCCTCTGCTCGCGCGTCGCCCCCCCCCTCCGGCTCCGTCGCCCCCCTCCCCCGGCTCCGTCGGCCCTCCCCCGGCTCCGTCGCCCCCCCCCCGGCTCCGTCGTCCCCCCCCTGGCTCCGTCGTCCCCGGCTCCGTCGCCCCCCCCCCCCGGCTCTGTCGCCCCCCCCCCCGGCTCCGTCGCCCCCCCCCCCGGCTCCGTCGCCCCCCCCCCCCCCGGCTCTGTCGGCCCGCCCCGCCCCCGTCGGCCCCCCCCCGGCCCCCTCGGCTCCATCGGCTCCGTCTGTCGGCTCCCTCGGCCCCCTCACAAACGGCCCCGCCAGCCCCTGCTCGGAGCGCGGCCCGGGAACGCCCCGGGAGCGCACGCGCGCCTCAGGCGGCCATCTTGGATTTGTCTTCTTGGTCTTTGTCGAGCACGCAGAACGAGTCGAGGAAGGGAAAGTTGGCCGCGACTTGCTCGAAGTCCTGCTGCGAGATGTAGCCATCACGGTCGTGGTCGTAGTTCTTGAAGACGGACTCCACGACGCGCTGCACGTGCTTGTTGATGGTGGCCGCGTCGGGCTTGGGCGACACTAGCCAGTGCCCCCCCAGCCATTGACCTCACCGCACGTCACTGGCACCTGGTGGCCTTTAGTGCGGCCCCAGACGTGCGGCCCCCGGCAATACACAACGAGTGAAATCACCCCAACCGTGCTGTCAACCTCCAATGGTTTCAAATGTGTAGCGACCCTCGCACTGACGTCTTATCTGCGGAATTGCCTTCCCCTCCCCTTCCCCTCTGAAGAACACTGCTCGAGTCTAATGCGAGCTTATAGATTATAGAGTGACACACACCGTCACGTAATATACACAATTTAACACGTAGGCGTTCGAGACCAATATTATCCACGAGGTTTTTGGGTAAGATGGTGTAAATTCACGCGTACATTTATTTACGCGTAAATGTACGGTTGTGCACACCTCAACACATGCCAACATACACACACGTCAAAGCAGCTCCTCACTCATTTTTGTTGTGGATTATGATGCGGCAGTTATGGAAATTCCACATTTTGTGACGGGGACCAAATAAACTTGCAGTTTCTGCGTTTCTGCGTGCATTTTGCAAATGCAATTGTCTCTATACAGTACAGTACACTTAAAAGTTTACACGTGGTTTTTTTTTGGGGGGGGACAATTTTCAAATGTGTATGCGTGTCTCTGTGTGCACTTTATAAGCGTTTACTGTACACGTGTTTCTGGGTACACTTTGTAAATATGTACAATCCACCGGTGTATGGGTACACATTGTAAATGTGCTAACCGACCTCTTCGTTCAAGTTTCAAGTTTATTTAACCATGTGTAAGTACAAGATACCAAGACGAGTGTCATTTTTAAACGTGATCTGGGTCACCAAAATGACAAAAGCAAAACAAACGAAACAACGTCCAGCAATGAAGTGAAGAGCAAACAGAACAAAAATAAAATCACCATCGCGATATTGCAAACATGAATACATATTAAATCAAAGCTAAATATTTAATTCCCTGCAACATAAATTGGCTCAGGCAGATCACCTCCGGATTGATCACAGCAGCAATTACAACACTAAGGTACAGAAACATTACATTTAAATCAAAGGTTGACCATAGCGCTATTATGTAAACAACAATTTGTGTGAAAGGCAATTGCAAGTGAAGAGTAGACTTTGTCCGTGTACGCGCGTTACTGGGTACACTTTGAAAACGTTAGTTCTAAGAAAATTACCATTTCTGCAAAAACAACGAGATCTTCTCCTTATTCACAGGGAAGTTCCTCTATTTCATTTTGCCTAACCCATGCATTATATAAGACAGCTGTAGGATGAACAATTTAATCTTATGCAATGTATAAATGCAAATATAAGCACGACTTTCTTCTGTCTCCACATAAAAAAATGTTCAGCCTATTTTCTTTCCAGATGAATATTATCAACGAACATTTTGTTAAACAAGCAACCTCTGGACCGGTGTATACCTTCTGGGTCTCATCAGCAGTCGGGATTGTTAAATATATGTGCTGCTGGAGTGACAGATGGTATTTGCAAGATCCCTCCACATAAAACTATAGGACACCATTCAATACAGTACACGGTATTATTGGTGTGCCATATTTTTTTTATTCAGTGCAGAACCAACTTGAACGTGACAGTTTCACTTGGGCAGCCATGCAATGGTGACCGAGCTGATTCCATCAACTCCCTGTACTTGAGAGGCCGCTTTAATCGCAGGCAGCTGACCGGACTCTTACCCAGGATCTTAGCGGTGCCAGCTCAGCGCTCTGACCCCCTCGAAGCCACCTTGGCCACCTCGAGATTACTGCATTTCACTGGCGAAAATATTTCTGAGATTTGAACTGTATTTCTTTGCCCTTGCTAGCGACGTAATCCAACTTGGTGAATTGTCCAAGAGGTGGAGGCCACTACAGTGTACGCGTCAGATCGATGCTTCATCGCCTAACGGTATCGATTAAAGTAGATGATCCAAAGACGGTATCCCTCCCCACCCCCTATTTCCCTTTTCTGTACATAAATACCCAAATTTACGTCCCCCACGTTGACGTCGTTTCGCAAATACGTCGTCACTTTACGAACACCACGACCCTGATTTGCGTCGCCTAAAACCCACACTTACGTCGCTGACAGCATCGTCATCCCTCCTCCTTTCTCCTATCCGTCGCCTCTCAGCCTTTCGCCTATACCGACCCTTATCGATTGCTTCGATTCACCGAGTCTCGATATTCAAAAAAAGCTGCGACGCCCATCGGTGAATTTATAGCCTTCATTGGTCTAATCTTGATTTGAAGCTTTCGTGACTGCAGGAATCCATACTCTTTGGTTCTTTCGGTAAAGTCACGTGGGTAGGAAAATAATAGATCACGACGTTTCGATCGCAACACAAACAGTCGTCATCAGGTGGAACAACCACAGCAAGAAAAAAAAAGCCTACTTCAACAATGCTCTCCGACTCTCTTTCTCATCTGATCCTCTGCCTCCTATCTTTTTTTTTATTTCGATCAGAGGAAAACAGAAGATGCTCGGTGTAGTCGGCACTTTGCTTCGTTCATCATTTCGTTTTTTTATGCTTTGCTTTATGTAACCCCCCCCCCCCTCTTTTTAAATGAAAGATTTAACAAAATATTTCTCGCTCTGCTCTCCTTACCCCTTCCTTCTCTCTCTCTACCCCATCTCTGCTCCCCTCTCTCTCTACCCCCTCTCTGCCCCCCTCTCTCTCTACCCCCTCTCTGTCCCCCTCTCTCTCTACCCCCTCTCTGCCCCCCTCTCTCTCTACCCCCTCTCTGCCCCCCTCTCTCTCTACCCCCTCTCTGCCCCCCTCTCTCTCTACCCCCTCTCTTCCTACTCCATGTCCCTCTCGCTCTCTCGCTTTTTTAAACTCTTCTCTCTGTTCTCTCTCCCTGGCCCAACCTTTGTGCTTCTCGTCTCCCGTGGCTTTCGCGGTCTCTCACGTCCGAAACAAAACTCCCTCTTCGCTATCCGCTCGTGTCTCTCCGCTTCTCTCTTTCTTCGCAAACTCATTTCCTCTCCCCGTCGTATTCTTCCTCTCCCCGCCGAGTTCCGTTTCGAGCCTCTCGATTCCCCTGGTTTACCATCTCTAGCCGCCCCCTGCCTCTTCAGTCACTCACTGAATACTCTTCGTAAACACTCTATCAGGTATTGATGTTTCCTGCCCTCCCTCTGTTAGTCAAGCTTCTGAAACCTCTCCCTCCTCTGCACATCCCCCCACCCCACTATTCTCCCATCCTCTCTCATCTCTCCGCCAACTCCTCTTCGCCACTCTCCCCTCCATACCTCCTCTCTCCCCTCCACCCCCTATTTTTTATTATTTTCTCTCGTCTCGCTCTTCCCTCTCTCCTGCCCGTCCCCTCCCCATCTCAGCCATCCAGCCTCGTTCCCCTCGCCTCGCCATCGACATCTCTCCTCCCTCCTCTCCCGTTCTCCGCTTCTCTCCTCCCACTCCCCCTCCCCTCATCTCCATCTCTCCTCCTCTTACCCCCTCCCCTCATCTCCATCTCTCCTCCTCTTACCCACTCCCCTCATCTCCATCTCTCTCCCCTCATCTCCATCTCTCCTCCTCTTACCCCCTCCCCTCATCTCCATCTCTCCTCCTCTTACCCACTCCCCTCATCTCCATCTCTCCTCCTCTTACCCACTCCCCTCATCTCCATCTCTCCTCCTCTTACCCCCTCCCCTCATCTCCATCTCTTCTCCTCTTACCCCCTCCCCTCATCTCCATCTTTCTCCCCTCATCTCTCCTCCTCTTACCCCCTCCCCTCATCTCCATCTTTCTCCCCTCATCTCCATCTCTCCCCCTCTTACCCCCTCCCCTCATCTCCATCTCTCTCCCCTCATCTCCATCTCTCCTCCTCTTACCCCCTCCCCTCATCTCCATCTCTCCTCCCCCTCCCCTCATCTCCATCTCTCCTCCTCTTACCCCCTCCCCTCATCTCCATCTCTCTCCCCTCATCTCCATCTCTCCTCCTCTTACCCCCTCCCCTCATCTCCATCTCTCCTCCTCTTACCCCCTCCCCTCATCTCCATCTCTCTCCCCTCATCTCCATCTCTCCTCCTCTTACCCCCTCCCCTCATCTCCATCTCTCTCCCCTCATCTCCATCTCTCCTCCTCTTACCCTCTCCCCTCATCTCCATCTCTCCTCCTCTTACCCCCTCCCCTCATCTCTCTCCCCCTCCCCTCATCTCCATCTCTCCTCCTCTTACCCCCTCCCCTCATCTCCATCTCTCTCCCCCTCCCCTCATCTCCATCTCTCCTCCTCTTACCCCCTCCCCTCATCTCCATCTCTCTCCCCTCATCTCCATCTCTCCTCCTCTTACCCCCTCCCCTCATCTCCATCTCTCCTCCTCTTACCCCCTCCCCTCATCTCCATCTCTCCTCCCCCTCCCCTCATCTCCATCTCTCCTCCTCTTACCCCCTCCCCTCATCTCCATCTCTCCTCCTCTTACCCCCTCCCCTCATCTCCATCTCTCCTCCCTCTCCGCCGCCCTCCCTCCCTCCCCTCCTCCCTGTGTGTCTCTCTGTTCAAGGAGGGGAGACTCCCTCCCGGGCCTCCCGAGTCCCGGACCCCCAAGCCGGTCCCCCCAAGGGGGAGCAACAGCGATCCCGGGGGCCGTGAGGGTCGGAGAGGTTGGGAGATAAGGGGGGGAGGGGGGAGATAAGGGGGGAGAGGGAAGCGCCGGAGATGGAGAGAGACGGCGGCGTGGTGTGTTGCGGGTGGCTCATCAAGTCTCCCCCCGAGAGGAAGTTACGCCGGCCATTTGTGAGTGCCTTGATGTGTGTGTGTGATGTGTGAGGATGTGTGTGTGTGATGTGTGAGGATGTGTGTGTGAGATGTGTGAGGATGTGTGTGTGAGGATGTGTGATGTGTGTGAGGATGTGTGTGTGTGATGTGTGTGAGGATGTGTGTGTGTGTGAGGATGTGTGTGTGTTTGAGGGTGTGTGTGTGTGAGATGTGTGAAGATGTGTGTGTGTGTGAGGATGTGTGTGTGTGTGAGGATGTGTGTGTGTGTGAGGATGTGTGTGTGTGTGAGGATGTGTGTGTGTGTGAGGATGTGTGTGTGATGTGTGTGTGTGAGGATGTGTGTGTGTGTGATGTGTGTGTGAGGATGTGTGTGTTTGTGAGATGGAGTGAGGATGTGTGTGTGTGTGAAGATGTGTGTGTGTGTGAGGATGTGTGTGTGATTGATTGTGTGTGTGATGTGTGTGTGATGTGTGTGTGATGTGTGTGTGATGTGTGTGATGATGTGTGTGTGATGATGGGTGTGTGTGCGGATGTGTGTGTGTGATGTGTGTGTGTGAGATGTATGTGTGTGAGGATGTGTGTGTGTGTGATGTGTGTGAGGATGTGTGTGTGTGCGAGGATGTGTGTGTGTGTGTGCGAGGATGTGTGTGTGTGTGTGTGCGAGGATGTGTGTGTGTGTGTGCGAGGATGTGTGTGTGTGAGGATGTGTGTGTGTGAGATGTGTGTGTGTGTGAGATGTGTGTGTGTGTGAGGATGTGTGTGATGTGTGTGTGTGAGGATGTGTGTCTGTGTGTGATGGAGTCAGGATGTGTGTGTGAGATGGAGTGGGGATGTGTGTGTGAGGTGGAGTGAGGATGTGTGTGTGTGATGAAATGGGGATGTGTGTGTGATGGAGTGAGGATGTGTGTGTGTGAGGTTGTGATAGTGCCTGTGTGTGATGATGTTAAGATCTGTATGTGTGAGAGTAAATGTGTGAGAGTAAATGTGTGTGAGTTTGTTGGTGTGTGAGGGTGTTGGTGTGTGAGGGTGTTGGTGTGTGAGGGTGTTGGTGCGTGAGGGTGTTGGTGCGTGAGGGTGTTGGTGCGTGAGGGTGTTGGTGTGTGAGGGTGTGTGAGGGTGTTGGTGTGTGAGGGTGTTGGTGTGTGAGGGTGTTGGTGTGTGAGGGTGTTGCTGTGAGGGTGTTGGTGTGTGAGGGTGTTGGTGTGTGAGGGTGTTGGTGTGTGAGGGTGTTCTGAACCGGCCCTGGGACACTCCTAAGTCGACTCGACCTCAAATGAGTACAGTACTGGGAAGACAAAGGCGGCCTTAATAGGTGCTCGCTAACATCACTTTCCCCAACAGTCTGTTACAGGCTATACGGGGGATCTATTTCTTTGAGTAAGGGTGTTATTTATACCACAGTACATTGAATAGTCCGTGATAGAGTGTGTGTAGGTGTGTAAGGGTAGTGTGTGCAAAGGTATTCTGTGTGTTGGTGTGTAAGATTAGTGCGTGTAAGTGTAAGGGATCACTGTTCACTACATATGTGAGCACTTGTTATGGTTGTTTATATCACAGCATAGGCTTCATACTGTAAGTGTATGAGGATTTGGACACTGTGCATCGTGTGTGTGTGTAGGGGTAAGGGTGTGTGTGTATGTGTATGTAGGGTTTGGTAAGGGTGTGTGTGTGTGTAGGGTTTGGTAAGGGTGTGTGTGTATATATAGGGTTTGGTAAGGGTGTGTGTATATAGGGTTTGGTAAGGGTGTGTGTATATAGGGTTTGGTAAGGGTGTGTGTGTATATAGGGTTTGGTAAGGGTGTGTGTGTGTGTGTAGGGTTTGGTAAGGGTGTGTGTGTATATATAGGGTTTGGTAAGGGTGTGTGTATGTAGGGTTTGGTAAGGGTGTGTGTGTATATAGGGTTTGGTAGGGGTGTGTGTATATAGGGTTTGGTAAGGGTGTGTGTATATAGGGTTTGGTAAGGGTGTGTGTGTATATAGGGTTTGGTAAGGGTGTGTGTGTGTGTGTAGGGTTTGGTAAGGGTGTGTGTGTATATAGGGTTTGGTAAGGGTGTGTGTATGTAGGGTTTGGTAAGGGTGTGTGTATGTAGGGTTTGGTAAGGGTGTGTGTATGTAGGGTTTGGTAAGGGTGTGTGTATATAGGGTTTGGTAAGGGTGTGTGTGTATGTATAGGGTTTGGTAAGGGTGTGTGTGTATGTAGGGTTTGGTAAGGGTGTGTGTGTATATAGGGTTTGGTAAGGGTGTGTGTGTGTATGTAGGGTTTGGTAAGGGTGTGTGTGTATGTAGGGTCTGGTAAGGGTGTGTGTGTATGTAGGGTCTGGTAAGGGTGTGTGTGTATATAGGGTTTGGTAAGGGCTTGTGTGTATGTAGGGTTTGGTAAGGGTGTGTGTGTATAGGGTTTGGTAAGGGCGTGTGTGTATATAGGGTTTGGTAAGGGTGTGTGTGTATGTAGGGTTTCGTAAGGGTGTGTGTATATAGGGTTTGGTAAGGGTGTGTGTGTATATAGGGTTTGGTAAGGGTGTGTGTGTATATAGGGTTTGGTAAGGGTGTGTGTGTATATAGGGTTTGGTAATGGTGTGTGTATATAGGGTTTGGTAAGGGTGTGTGTATATAGGGTTTGGTAAGGGTGTGTGTGTGTATATAGGGTTTGGTAAGGGTGTGTGTATATAGGGTTTGGTAAGGGGGGGGTGTGTATATATAGGGTTTGGTAAGGGTGTGTGTATATAGGGTTTGGTAAGGGTGTGTGTATATAGGGTTTGGTAAGGGTGTGTGTGTAGGATTTGGTAAGGTTGTGTGTGTTATTAGTGTGTGTAGGGTTTGGTAAGGGTGTGAGTATTGTGTGTGTAGGGTTTGGTAAGGGTGTGTGTGAGTAGTGTGTGTGTAGGGTTTGGTAAGAGTGTGAGTAGTGTATATATGGTTTGGTAAGGGTGTGAGTAGTGTGTGTAGAGTTTGGTAAGGGTGTGAGTAGTGTGTGTGTAGGATTTGGTAAGGGTGTGTGTGAGTAGTGTGTGTGTAGGGTTTGGTAAGAGTGTGAGTAGTGTGTGTAGGGTTTGGTAAGGGTGTGTGTGAGTAGTGTGTGTGTAGGGTTTGGTAAGGGTGTGAGTAGTGTGTGTAGGGTTTGGTAAGGGTGTGTGTGAGTAGTGTGTGTGTGTAGGGTTTGGTAAGGGTGTGTGTGAGTAGTGTGTGTAGGGTTTGGTAAGGGTGTGTGTGAGTAGTGTGTGTAGGGTTTGGTAAGGATGTGAGTAGTGTGTGTAGGGGTTGGTAAGGGTGTGAGTAGTGTGTGGAGTTTGGTAAGGGTGTGTGTGAGTAGTGTGTGTAATGGTGTGAGTGTAAATGTGTGGGGAGCGGTGGTGTCGCGGTTAGCGCACTGCGCTATGAACCTGGCTATCCGAGTTCGATTCCCGCTCACGGCCAACACCAGTGATGATTATCTGAACCGGTCCCTGGGCCTCCTCAAGGTCAACTCAGCCTCAAATGAGTACCTGATGCGGTGTGTCAACATCGCCACTGGGGAGACAAAGACGGCCGGGCGTGGTGTTGGCCACCCACCCCCTCGTGTGCCGTGTCGGCCTTCATAGGTGCTCGCTAACAACGCTTACCCCAAGTCTGTAACAGGCTATACGGGGGATCTTTGTGGAAGGGGCTGAAATGTGGCATAAGGGTTAGCAGTACAGTGCACTCGTTGTATGTGTGAGAGGCTTGTGTAAGTTGATACTGTGTTGATGCGATTGTGTTTATCTATGTGCAAAGGTGAGTGTGCGTAAGGGTTTGGAGTGAATGTGTTTGTGGAGGCCAGGGCTTTTGGCTTGTTCTCTGTGATTACGGGGTCTCTGAACCCTTTTCTGTTCATGATCATTAAGGACCTTCATGGTGGTGACGGGCAGGACCGGGTAAAGCTGCGTGGCCAGGAGTCAGGAATCTTTCCCTGTTGGCCTTTGGGGTACAACGACAGGAATATAATCTGGGCCCAACACAGAAAATGGCCATTGCTGTACCAGAGGAGTTCAAATCTGATACTGATACAATTGGCGCCACGGTGGCGAGATGTTAACTACCTCGCCCGGTATACAGGAGGCCGTGGGTGAGATCCTGACCCTGACGCCTGCTGTATATTTGAAGTTTGCATGTTCTCCCCGTGGTCGGGTGGCTTTTTCTCTAGGTCCTCCGGTTTTCCCCTTCACATGTATAAACATCCCTTTAGAGTATTTGCCTGATATAAATTTGCACGTGATAGGTAACTTCTTTGGGCTATCATTTGTGGCCAGGTTGCTTCTGAAAAAAGAGCCATATAGCTCAGTGGGCCTTCCCTGGTAAATATAAAACAATGGTTAAAAAAATGTGTTGAACAATGTCCTTGTGATGTTTAGGAATGTCTCCTAATGAGCAACCACGATAAAATGCATGCTGATGGCTTGGTAATTGCTCCTGAAAAGGTGTTGGAGCACAGTGCTGCTGCACCTATCAGTAGCTTTCACCTCGCCAAAACAAAACACAGTGCCTCTGGGTACCATAGTACATCATATATGTAATCGGGCACTGCACCCCCTCATCTCTTCTTGAGTAATTGGGTGGTGGTAGAGTGGAAGACTTTTCACACCTGGGCAGTGTACTCATCATGAATGCTCACTTCTTACTCCACACAAGCGTTTGGGTCTTCTCGGCAACAATGACTCCTTAACACTTGCTAAATGTAGCTTGAAAAAAATGCAGGTTGGCGTGCCTACAGTCCATCGAGGGTTTATCGAGACTGTATTGTGTGAGTATCTCACATATTCTCGGAAGATCTTGACATTCTCTCATGAGTGAGCCTCCTCCGGCAGGCGAGGATGCGGCGGCTGGGTCATGTAACCCACATGCCCATCCACCGCATGCCAAAGCTGCTTTCGTTTAGCTGAATATTTCGAGTAAAACAGCATGGCACAGGCTCGAGCAGAGTTGAGATGATGGTGATGCAGGAGGACCTGGAGAAGTGTTGACTTGCCGATGACGTACCAGCAGTGTCAAGGTTGGCCACTGTG